CTTTCAAAGGGGCAGTGGGCAGGCGCGCTACCTGCCTGTGGAAGACGGGCCTCATGCCGAGCGCGGCGCACGGGGCTGGAGTGTCAGGGCTCACCGACGATACGCTGCAGGTGCTGAGGGCCGAGGCTGGCAGGCTTGCAGGGGCTCGGCCAGGTGCATCGAGCGTCACGGTGTATTTAGCCACGCAGAAGGCGCGCGAGTACGACCCCATCTACGGCGCCACCTGCGACATCGTTTGCCGATACGCCAGCTGGATCTGGGAACAACGCACCTCCCTGGCTAGGCTCCACAGGGCCTGGGCCAAGGTCACGGAGCGGCTCGTGGGGCGCCCGTCTTGGGCAGGGGCTCGCGGTCCCATCGCCTCCGTCACGCTGACGCTCTGGCGCATCGGATGGCACATGTACTCCAGCACGACCCTGGTCACCGACCAGGACACGGCGATCAACCTCCTCACCACGTGCCCGAAGGACGTCAGGATGCATCTGACCGACGGCGTGCAACGCTGGCAGGCGAGGCAGATCGCGGCGCACCACCGCCAGCACGGCGAGGTCAAGCCTTGGGTGCGGGCCATGCGGCTCTGCGTGGGCGACGGGCGCGCGGCGTTGGCGGAGGGCCCGTCGGCCACCAGCCTGCGACACCACTGGGCGACGGTGGCCTGGACGCAACAGGCCCAGCACGACCTTGGGCTGGCGGCGGCGCCGAATTGCAGGGCCTGCGGACATCCGTCCGACTCGCCTGGGCACAGATTTTTCGGCTGCGAGGTACTCGTGCAGCCGCTCACAGAGGAGGAGCAGGACGAGCAGCTGCCGCCCGAGCCGATGCAGGCCATCCGCACCTTCATGTGCGACAAAGGCCTGCAGGAGGGCGGCAGCTTCGAGAGCGCCGACTTCCAAATGTGCTTGCCCTGCATGCCGCCTTTCGTGCCGCCCGCCGCGGAGCAGGCCGAGGTGAAGTTCTGGGGCTGCTGGCCTAGCCAAGGGGCGGACACGGCTTCCTGCAGCAACGCCGTCTTCACCGATGGCTCAGGCTTCGCGTCCAGCATGCCCGAGCTGAGGCGCTGCGGATGGGCCTTCGTGCAGCTTTCCCTCCAGGGACTGCCTGTTCGGGCGGCGTTCGGGGCGCTGCCAGGGCCGCTCCAGACGGTCGGGCGCGCGGAGAGGCACGCGCTGCTGCAGGCATTGCGGCTCGCGGGGCCGCAGCTCGAGTTCGTCTTCACCGACCTTCTGTCGATGGAGAAGGAATGCAGCCACTGGGGGCAGGAGCTAGAGGAGGCGCGAGCGGCACATGCCACAGTGTGGAGACGGATTCGTGCCCAGCCAGCGCGGCCTGAAGTGAGATGGATCCCCGCGCACCAGGACATGGATGCGTACTTGGACCGAGGCCTCCACCCGCTGCTGTACTCTGGCAACATGTGGGCCGACTGGTTCGCTCGGCAAGGAGCCATGCAGCACACCGTGTCGAAGGTGTACGAGGAGTTTTACAACATCGAGCTGCAACACTACAAGAGCCTGGCAAAGTACGTCGGCTGGGCGATGCAGAGGACGATGCACGCAGGCCGCTGGGATGCGCCCGAGCAGACAGCCCGCCCGCCAAAGGTGCCCAAGGTGCAGGCGGCGACTGTGATCAGCCACTCCCTGGTTCGCCTGGACGGGACGGCGGTGGTGCTGTGCCGCGCTTGCTGCAGGCAGACCAGCGGGCAGACGGGGCCCACGTGGACGCAGTTCGCGCGTTCAGCTTGCGAGGCCAGCCAGTGCACCGCGCTGCGGGCCGAGGCCATCATCGCGCACGTCGGCGCGCAGCCCATTGTGGTCTCGGAGGCGGGCGAGTTCGCTATGCAGGCGATCGAGCGCGCGGCGTGCCCCGAAGATGCGGGGCCCAGGCCAGCCGAGCCTGCCCCCTGGGGCTCAGGGGACGGCACCATCGAGATGCAGGGGCACAGGCTGAGGCGCGCAGGGCCCACCATCTACTGCGAGGTATGCGTGGCGTGGGCGGCGACAGGCTCCTCACTGGCCCTGGCTGCGCCCTGCGCTGGCCCGCCCAGCGCCGAGGGCAAGAACCAGCGCACCTACCTGTCCAACCTCAGGGCGCGGCTCAGGAAGCTCAGCCAAGGGCTGCACCCCAAGACAGGAAAGGTGCTCACTTGGGGAGGTGCAGGCGAGGTTCCAGACGGCCCCAGAACATGGGCCACAGCAGCGGCCAGCGCGGCCGCGGGCGACATGGCCTCTGGGGGCGACGGCGCTGCAGAGCGGCCAAGCGGCAAGCACGCGCAGAAGGAACAGGGCGAGGCGACCAGGCCTGGCCAGGACCACGAGACGCGCGAGGTGCCTGCAGGGGCTGGAGGTTCCGACGCAGTCCAGACCAAGAAGCCTGCTTGGCGGGTGCGACGGCAGGAGCTCCTGGAACGGATGCAGCGAAGGCAGCAGCATCTGCTAGCCGAACGTGGTCCAGCAGCCGCCAGCGGCGCGCAGCGTGATGAGGGAGACATGGCCGACGGCAGCTTGCCCTCGGCCTATGGAGCGCACCAATGCCCCGACGGGGGCACCACTGGACTGGTGACGCTCCAGCCGCCGCCAGCTGCCCCAGACGTGGGGGTGGTCGATGCCTGTCTGGCGGCGGGGCCGTCGCGGCTGCCTGCGCCCTTGAGGTGTGACCTGGCACACGAGGTGACGCTGACCACGGACCACCAGGAGGGCGCCGTGACCAGCCCTCAGGACATGAGCAGCCCGCCGCAGCCGTTCTCGACTACCGATATGGCCAGCACCAGGGGTGGCAGGGGACCTGCAAAGTGCGGTCGCGAATGCGGCCCCGCCCTGAGTGCTGGCAGGTCTGACAACTCGCAGCGGGCGCTGCCAGGCATGGCCAGTGACAAGGGTGGCAGGAGGCCTGCAAGCCGCGACCCTGAGTGCGGCCCCACCTTGGGCACTGGCGGCGACGGCAGCCAGGCCCACCGCGTGCGGCGACGATCTACGGCCTGGGCCAGGGGTGGCAGGGGACCTGCAATGTGCGTGCGTGAGTGCGGCCCCGCCCTGAGCCCAGGATGCGACGAGGACCGCGACGGCAAGGGCATGGCCAGCGCCAGGGGTGGCAGGGGACCTGCAAAGTGCAGTCCTGTGTGCGGCCCCGCCCTGGGCACTGGCAGCGGGTCTCTGGGAGCGGCGTCGCCTGAGGAGGACCAGCGGCAGCCGCAGCTGGCTTCTGGGGAGGCGTGTCCACGTGCAGCTACGGCTGGTGCCAGGGGTGGCAGGGGACCTGCAGTTTGCGGTCCTGAGTGCGGCCCCGCCCTGAGCACCAGCACCCACCCCGAGCGGCGACGGATTACGGCCTGGGCCAGGGGTGGCAGGGGACCTGCAATGTGCGTGCGTGAGTGCGGCCCCGCCCTGAGCCCAGGAAGCGACGCGGACCGCGACGGCATGTGCATGGCCAGCACCAGGGGTGGCAGGGGACCTGCAAGTGCCGACCGTGTGTGCGGCCCCGCCCTGAGTGCTGGCAGTGTTGCGGTGGCTCGGCCTGAGCCAGTGCAGCCGAGGCGCAGCGTCGCGCCCAGGCTTGAGCTGCAGGTCGCTGGATGGGCGCGGTATTGGACCCAGGCTCCCGAGGTCGGCGAGACGATGGAGTGCTACAGCGAGTGGCTCGACCACTGCGTCGGCTACGTCACGCAGATCCTGTCCCAGCCGCGCTTCGCCACCAGGCTGCGGGCGCGTGGGAGGACGGCCGAGGAGATGGCCGAGGAGATCTGCGAGCGGGCCTGGGGGACTGGCATGCCCGCGAGGCGGGCCTACTACAGGTGGCGCCACACGCTGACGCGGTCGCAGAGGATCGTGTCGGACTGCATGCGGCGCTACGACTACGTGTGCCTGCGGACGTGGCTGGCCGAGCTGCGGCGGGAAGGGCAGCCACCGCCCATTGGCCCGCTCAGAGCGCCTTCGGTGCCGTGGAATGCGGGACGCAGGAGGCGACGGAGAAGTGGTTGAAGGTCGGCCTCTCCTGGCACGGGCAGCCGCTGCGTGGCGTTCTGGCCCCAGCGGCTCGCCGCAAGGCGCTGCGCGGCGGTCTGGCCCCAGCGCGCCGCCCTTCGCGTCCGTCGACGTGATCGGCATCACTGGCCTCCCCTGAGGCTGCGGCCCCCTGGCCGCCTGTGCTGCGTCTAGTTGGCCTGGCCGACGCGACGTCCTGCCGCTGCTCTCCGCTGCTCTCCCTCCCCCCCTCCCTCCCTGCCTCCCTCCCCCCCTCCTCCTCGTCCTCCTCCAAGGGGGGGGGACTCAGGACACAGGACTCATGAAGGAACCTCTGCCGAGGGCGTTCAGCACAGGCTGCAGCCCAAAGAGGCCCGCTGGAGGCGGACCTCGGAGACCGTCGAAGCGTCACAGAGACAACTTGCGATCGAAAGGACGAACATCTCAGGTCGGAAAGCCAACAGCAGAGAACCCACACCCTCAACACCATCAGCATGACCGAATCCGCACATCCTCCTGAGAAACGCTGGGCACCCCTGGCAGGGAAGAACTCCTCCTCCTCCTCCTCCTCCTCCTCCTCCCCGCCTCCTCCTCCTCCTCCTCCTCCTCCTCCTCCTCCTCCTCCTCCTCCTCCTCCTCCTCCTCCTCCTCCTCCTCCTCCTCCTTCCTTCCTTTCCTCCTCCTTTTCCTCCGCCGCCTATTCCTCCTCCTCCTGCTCTCCTCCTCCTCCTGTTCCTCCTCCTCCCCCCCATCCTGCTCCTCCGCCTCCGCCTCCTCCTCCTCCTCCCTCCTCTTCTTCCTCCTCCTCCTCCTCCTCCTCTTCCCCCTCCTCCTCTTCCTCCTCCTGCTCCAATTCCGCCTCCTCCTCCTCCTCCCTCTCCTAGTCCTCCTTCTCCTCCTCTTCCTCCTCCTCCTCATCATCATCTTTTATCCACCTCCTCTTCTTATTATTCTTCTTTTTCTTCTTACTAGGAACAGCTGGATCGGAGAGCCGTGAGGGAGCTGATACGAACGTAGCGGTCGCGCTCGGAAAAGGGTGCGCGTCTCTTGCTGTCTGGCCGCAGGTCGACCAGGGCATCGAACATCTCGCCCGAGAGGCAGACGACAATCTTGCCGTACGGGGAGCAATGTATCCCTGGCTTCGCCGCCGAAGGGGAGGGAGAGGGGGAAGAGGGAGGGGGGAGGAGGACGGCGAGGGAGGAGGAGGAGGAGGAGGAGGAGGAGGAGGAGGAGGAGGAGGAGGAGGAGGAGGAGGAGGAAGATGACGAGGGACATCGCCGTCTTAGGTACCGACGGCAACGGCAACAGCATCACGAGGGACAAGGATGACATGAAGGAGGGGTGGAGGGAGGGAGAGAGAGGAGAAACAGGAGATGACGACGACGTCGAGGATGACGACGGCGATCTACTGATAGCATAACATCCCTGGATAAATGGATCGGCTGCCTTTTCCCCCTCCCCTCTCCTCCCTCCACTCTATGATCAATACTGGTCCTCCCTCGTTCTCTTATGTGGCAGAGTTTGGCTAGATGTGTCGGACCGTCTTCTCGCCGCGGCGCCTGTCATGGCAAGGCTTCGGGCTGCGCACAGACAGCCCCCCGAGACAGTCCGCTGGCCTCGAGAGGCCGCCCGACTGGTCCCAGCTGGCCTCCACAGGCCCCCCGAGAAAGCCGGGACGGTCTCGTCGCCCCGGCGCCGCCTCTGGCGGAGCCTCTGAGGCGCTCCGCGCCGCAGAGTAGGGCTGTTGCGACCGTCCCGGGGTGCCTGCCGAGGCCAGCTGGGACTATACTCGGGGCACTCGTTCCCGAGGCCCGGCGAGGGCCCCCCGGGGCCGAAAACGGCCAAAAGCCTCCCGCCCTGATTTCTTTCACGACGCGATCATGTCTGGGGCTGGGACCACTTCGGGGGGGCTATCTTCGCGCAGCCCGACGACTCACCAGACGTCTGCCACGCGTGCCCTGCCGCTCTGGAGAAGACGGCCGGGGCCCCTCATGCGCGGGCCGTGGCCCTCGACTACGCTGCCGCGCGCGCTCCGACTCTCACGGACGGACGACCTTCGGCGGCCTTCCGAAGCCGTCGTCGTCGTCGTCGTCGTCGTCGCCGTCGTCGTCGTCGTCGCCGTCGTCGTCGTCGTCGTCGTCGTCGCCGTCGTCGTCGTCGTCGTCGTCGTCGTCGTCGTCGTCGTCGTCGTCGTCGTCGTCGTCGTCGTCGTCGTCGTCGTCAATCGTCGTCGTCGTCGTCGATCGTCGTCGTCGTCGTCGTCGATCGTCGTCGTCGATCGTCGTCGTCGTCGTCGTCGTCGTCAATCGTCGTCGTCGTCACTCGTCGTCGTCAAGCGTCGTCGTCGTCGCGGCCAAGGGAGGAGCACGAGCAGGGGGGCGAAGCCTGGGGGGGGGGCGGAGGGTTGGCGAGGACGAGCCACCGCTGGCGGAGCATTGCATGACCCTGACTTCGGATCTGCCATACTGTGGCCGATTCTGATATTGAAAATTATCTCGGAAATGCACAACATTCGAAAAAATAGGGCGGCAATTTCCGCCGCAGAATCATAGGGCTGATATGTCCGCAAAGGTATGGCGGACACAGCGACAGCAAAGTAGGGCGGAAAGCGACATCAAAGGAGCTTGAACAACAGGCTGGAAAATGTCACCCTTCTTGCGAAATCGCCCAGAGTACGGCGGATCCAGAGTCAAGGGGGAACGACCTGAAGGGAAGGGACGTAAAGGGGGGAGGGGGGAGGTTAGGAGGCAACTCCATGGAGGTCTTCGTAAAAACGATTCATGTCGATCAAACCTGATTGACAAACCATTATGCCAAACGGGGCCAAATTACTCTCAGGATGTAGCCGGATTCAACACGACTCATCGGGACTTGGGACTTGGGGGACTTGCATGGCTTTCGACTACAGATATGAAGATTAATGGCATTGCTTCAACGTTCCTCTTTGTATACATGCCACACGCGGGATATCCGCACAACGATTAATAGACTTCTATGCGTTTGACAACGGGAGGTCGATTTTGCTAGGAGGGACGCCGGAAATTATGCATATCTGGTAACCCAGTTTGAAATCGGTGAAAGAGGGCAACTACTGCAAACGCTTTGCTTTGAGAATGGCCTTAAGGCCGGCAATTTTCGACATGCCCCTGATGCGTGGACTTTTTGAAGCTCGATCGGTGCCAAGCGGGTTGTGGATTAGATACTGTTTGATGCTTCTTTTCATGGCCAGCCTTGCGACCTAAGTGACAATGTAGATATGGGATCTGACCATCGTGAGTTGCATGGGACGTTCAATCTAGGCCCAAGTTCTCGACGTCGGAAGGGGCGCCAGCACGACGCGGTTTGGTGCGTGGGAAGCGACGCGGCACACGTGACCCACAAGAACGGTCTAAATTGTCCAAGCTCGTTGTTGGAGATCACCGTAAACGCATGCGGGAATACGGTGATGCACGTGCTGTTTCGCAGTTGTTGAAGTTTGAAGGTGTCAAACATTGACTTCGGGAGCACATGTTCTCTTCGCAGCAGGGCAAGCCTTGTCCATTAGATTGTGATGTGTTTAAGGCTTGGCTCGAGCAGCTTTTTCTACGGGCTGCGGCGATGCCATGGACGAATGGGCAGCGGCACATCCCAACAGAGGCTCGTGTAAACTCACCCTGTTTTAAATGCAAGAGTTGCGGTCAGCATTTAAACACATGAAGCTTGGTAAATGCGCAGATAAACGCGGTATGATCGTTGAAATGTTTGCGTGCGGTAGTGGCGCTCTGTGCAGACGCCTCCTGGAGTGCTTGAATTCGTTGCTCAACACAGGCCGCATCAATTCCACTTGGCAGGGAACGTGTTTTATCATGCTGCCGGAGACGGGCAGCAGACAAGGTGAAACAATTTGGCGATCTATAGCAATTTCACGCATCACGTATCAGTGATTTGCTCGCCTACTCTTTACACGCTTGCAGCCTGATCTGGATAAAGAACAGTCGCATGACAAGGTAAGATTTCGCCTGGGCCGTTCCGAGCACGACGCTTTTATCGTTTGGGGGGATGTCTGCACGAAAGCTAGGGAGTGGCAGCTCCCACGATAGATCGTTAGCATTGACCTGCCTAAAGCTTTTGACAGGCTGGAACATCACATGCATTCCAGGCATTGTCGGAGCAGGGGGTTCACGCAGACGGCGTGCGGCGTTTATCAGACATCTCCAGTTCCCAATGAGGGAGCGTCAACGGCAGCACAGCGTTTGACATTTACTCGTGGCGCCGAACGAGGGGACGTTTTGTCAGCGTTGCTCTTCAACGCCGGCTTAGAGCATTCAGTTCTAAGGTTCAGAGTGCGAGCGCAGCAGTGTGGCTTCGACGTTGGAGGCGTCGATTTGCATAGCAACATGCAGCACGCGAAAGACATGTTATGCTTGTTCCACCGCAGATGTTACTCGCATGTTTGACAGCCTTTCGGAAGACTTGTCAGCGTGCGGCCTTTGACTAGATGCTGACAAAACGTGGATGTTCACTAACGATGTTGCTGTTTCCAACGTCGACGAGCCTCTCGTTTTGCAGTTTGCCGGCTGCCTATTGCCTGTCATAACGTCCCAGCCGTTCCACAAGTATCTCGGCAAGACATTCGGGGGCGATTTGCGGTGCAGATCAGAGTGCAGTGTCAACTATCGCATGGAGTGCACATGAGAGAAATTTGATTCCCAGAAAGTAATACTTCTGAATTAAGCTATATCTTTGTGCCTTCGCATGAAGCTTTTCGACACGGTGGTTGCGCCCACTGCTGTCTACGGTCTCTCAACGTCCGCCACGGCAGCACAGCATAGGTATAGGATTGCATCTACTTGTTCAGAAATGCTCCGTCGGCTAGTGCGTCTCAGCAAGCTTCCCGTCGAGAGTTGGGAAGACGAGGGGCGACGATGCAAGCAAAAAGTACGCATTGCTTTGCAAGTTTTCCCCGTGTCAGACTGGCTCATCGTGATGGACCGTTCAATGTGACGCCTCCTGGTACGACTTGCCACCGGCGAGTCGCAAGAATGGGCCGCGCAAGTTTTACGCTGGCGCCCAGCTGGCCCCCGACGTCGCGGTCGGCCGCGGCGTCGAAGGACAGATGATGTGATGCGTTTCTGCAACACGAGCGCGGCACGAGTCTTGTGGATATCGGATATCGTCCGCAGCCAACAGCGTTTCCTTTGGCAGCGATTGGAGAATTCATTCCCCAATCATGTGTGGTGGCGCGCCTGATGTACGACACAATGTTAGCAGACTTTTATATCAGCCACTTCTCTTGCATGCGCGTTTCATTGCCGTACTGGTTGTCTCACGCCCTCCGTCTCCGCTTTCGGAGCGAGGAGCCTCCGCGGGCTCCTCGACCGGACTTGACTTGACTTGACGGCCACATATATACCAGCGCCGATGCTGAATCAAACCTCCCAGGAGTTGCGGCAAAGGGGGGAGAGGGAAGTGCCGTGGCGGGGGAAGGGGCAAGATCAACCAGCATCGAATCGGGAGATCGGAACTTATCGAGACGTGCGTCGGATCGCGCTTCATCGAGGCCCGGGGTCGAAAACAAGTCGGACTGGCCGCGCAAGGATGCACAACAGCGCCGCACAACCATGGGACCGCATCGGATCGTCTGAATGTCTGAATATCAGAATCGAATCGGATCGAGACAGAAGGAATTGATATCGAACTAGGATCGGTCGGATTGGAATGGACCCTGGGAAGAGGAGCCGAGACAGGATGGCAAAGGAGCGGGGAAGGGCGGAGATGCGGACGCCGGAGGGAGAATGAAGGGGAAGCAGGGCACGGGACGGGAGGAGGCGAGAAGGTGAGGGGGGGAGCTAGGTGCGCTCGCGACATATCTGACATCCTACCCCTCTCACCCCTCCCCTCCCATTGCGCTGCTTGTTCCTCTCTCCGCGGACGCATGCCGTGGCGGACCTGGAAGCCCCCAAAGACCCCTATCGTGTTTTGCACAATCGGAATGAGGGAGCTCAGCAGGCGGAAGAAGAGGAGGAGGAGGAGGAGGAGGAGAGAACGCCAAATGCTGACGCATCAGGTTCGACCAACGCAAAAAGGAGGAGAAGGAAGATGAGGAGGAGGAGGAGGAGGAAGACGCCACCGAGGTGGAGCGCCGGAGCCCCGAAACGCCCGCTCGAGTTCCAGCTTTGCGATCTCTGGTGGCACAAGGGGCCCGCCGCGCCGTCGATGGTCCGCCTATCGGCCCCGCGGGCCCCGCGTTGCATCGGATGTTGCGGCAAGTTCGTGTCGTGACGGCCCCGGCGCTCCACCTTCAACGATCGGCGGCTTGTCGATCGCCGGATCCTTCTGTGTTGGCCGGTTCTGGGCCTCTGGCGGCGTTCCACCTTGAACGCGCGCGCTGCGGTCGCAGCCGCGTCGGCACGACACGAACCTACCGTACGTGCTGGCTAATCATGGAGCGTTATCACGTTCTCTCGCTCTTCATACCGTCAGGAAGACAACTTTTTAAAATTCCTGGGGGGTAACGCGTGTTACCCTGGGAAGGGGGGGCGGGGGGGGAGGCTGCGGCGCGCACCCCCCGAGGCGCGCTGCCTACGTCGTCGTCGTCGTCGTCGTCGTCGTCGTCGTCGTCGTCCAAGCTCAGTGCCTGTGCACACCACACGGGTTGTGTACACCACGTAGCCCTTGTGCACTAGGACTGCTACAGACATGGTATGTGTGTGTGCACCATGGCGACTGTATCCCCCATAACAGCAGTGTGCACCACAGCGTCTTTGTACATCACACTGTTTCAGTACCCCCTGTGCACCAGTGCCTGCGTACACCACAAACCTTGTGTACACCTGAAGGTACCGACGGAGCCAAACTCCAGAAAATTTCCAGGTGCCCGAACGTATCACATTCAATATCTTGAATGATGGTGGGCATTTGTTTTCTGGCCCAGGGAACGCGCGGATATGTTGGGCCCACAACGCCTGTGTACGCCATAGCGACTGCGCACGTCATGACAACTGCGCGCACCACAGCGCCCGTGAACACCACGTGGCTTGGGGGCGCGCGAAGCGGCGTCAGCCGAGGAAATACACGAAGGAGAAGCAGGAGGAGCAGCAGCACCAGCAGGAGGAGCAGCAGGAGCAAACCGAACTCCACGATGGGGTCGACAGCTCGGGGCCCCCGCTCTTTTTCCAAGAGCATGCCAAAATGCACACCATGATGGCAACCAGACTTGTCTGCATGAGAACGCCTACATACACCGCAATGCCTGCGTACACCACAGCAGCCGTCTGCACCGCAACGCCTGCGATTATTTATACCACAGCTGCTGTTTCAGCACCCCTCCAGGTGCACCACACTGCCTGCGTTTACCACAAAGCTTGTGTACACCTCTACGACCCCGACCTAGCTGCCGCGATACGCAACACGCACCACGTTGCGTATTGACACGGAGCTCAACACGCAGATTGAAAGCGTACGTCTGGCGCGATACATTCGCCCAAACTTGGCCCAACACGTGCCAAGCCAACACGCAGCGTGTTGACACGGCCGTTTTGAACACGGCACGTGTTGCGCTTCAAAATGGGCATATCGAGGCAGCTTAGGACCCCGACGGAGCCAAGGTCCGGGAAATGGTTGGGGGCCCGAATGCATCGTATTCAACATGTGATCTGATTGTGATTCTTGGTTTTTCTGGCCCGAGGAACGCTTGGACATTTTGAGCCCACAGCGAATGTGAGACACAACACCTGTGTGCACCACAAGGCTTGTGTGTACCACAATGCTTGTGTACACCACAATGCCCGCGTCCTGTAACCGCAAAGAGGACGACGACGAGGTGAACGAACATGAAGAGGAAGGAGGAGGAGGAAGAAGTAGGAAGAGATGCGTGGGCAAACAATAGCCCACAACGCACGCTTACATCATACCGATTTTGCGCACTACAACGATTGTGTACATCACGGCGCCTGTGTACACCACACGGCTTATGATGTGTACACCGCAATGTTTGCGTACACCCACTATGCCTGTGTACACCACAGCTGCTGCTGCAACGACAGATGTGTGCGCCACAGCGCCCGTGTCGTGTACACCGCAGTACCTGCGTACACCATAGTGCACGCCCGCGCGCACCGCGGCAATAATAATGCCCGCGTGCACCATAGGCCCTGGGCTGCCTGGGATCGCGCGCTGGACCGGGCGCGGGCGTTAACGTTACGAAGGGGGGAGGCAGCGGGGGGGGGGGGGGGTAACACGTGTTATCCCTTGGGCAAGTAAAAAAATGATCCCCAGTACATACTGTGAACCGCTGCTGTGGCGATGAGCTTCCTCGAGCTGCACGTCAGAGGGCGACCGACGGTAGATGTCCTGCACTGTTTTCGCGCCCTCACGCTCATGCCAGCGGGGCGGCATGATGCAGGCGGAGGGAAAGAGACGGGAAGGATGCCGCTTCCGATATGATCGGGGGGTTCAAACGGAGGAAGGGGCAGGTTGGAGTGCGAGGGGCAGGGAAGGGGGGAGAAACCCCGCTGAGGAGGGTCGGTCTTCCTCCTCCTCCTCATCCTCCTGGTCCTCCTTCTCCTCCTCCTCCTCCTCCTCCTCCTCCTCGTCCTCCTCCTCCTCGTCCTCCTCGTCCTCCTCGTCCTCCTCCTCCTCGTCCTCCTCGTCCTCCTCGTCCTCCTCGTCCTCCTCCTCGTCCTCCTCGTCCTCCTCGTCCTCCTTCTCTTCCTCCTCCTCCTCCTCCTCCACCTCCTCCTCCTCCTCTTCCTCCTCCCGCGCGTCCCTTCGGCCCCACGTGTGGAACGGCACGGGCGGGAGTGGGCGGGTGCGCGCCTCGTAGGACGTTCTTCTGCGAGCTGGCGAAGGCGCTCTGCAGAATGGTCGGGGGCTCGCTGGCTTTCACCTCGATCTCCTCCCGGCCGAGGAGTAGACTTCACAGGTAGCGCTGGCTGTCTCGACCCAATGGCGGTGGCTTTCCTTCGCGCCCACACGGCGCCACCCTTCCTCTGCCTCGTCGTCGCTGTCCTCCACTGCCGCATCCTCTTCGTCGTCATTCTCCTGTTTCGCAGCCTCATCCGCACCCACCTCAGATGCTCCTGTCAAATTGCGCCATGCATTATCACATCAGTATCACCACGGCAACCACATCGCGCATCAGATGAGTATCGTGTCTCAAAAATGGCCTGTCGCGCCACACTGGGGTGCCCCAGACCTTCGACGCCGTGTTTCTGTTGCTGCATTGTGGGCCCCGTCTCGATCCCTTCCTGGGGACTGGCTTTTCATCCACGTCGGTTGTGACGGCCCCGGGAACCTTGCTGGGCCCAGGAGGCCGAAATCGGCCACAAAACTTCCGTCGTTATTATTCCTGTCGCCACGCGAGGAGGCGCGGAAAGGAAGGCTGGCCAGACATCAGACCGGTGATGTCGCAGGGAGCGCCCATGCAGAATCGATCCACGGCGGCGCGCGCCCTGTCCCGCACCCCTCGCCTCGAAGAGGCCGCGGTCGTCCTCGAACCTGCCGACGCCGTAGTACCTCTCGGCGGCGCGCCCCCCGGGGGGGAAGGCGGACCCAGACCCCCAACGTCATGATTTGCACACGACCTATCGCCCCCACAGGGGTCTCGACCCCGTCCCCAGGACCGGCTCTTCATCCAGAGTCGCGTCTGACGGTCCCCGGGGGCCTGGCGGGGATACCCTCGAGGCCGAACATCGCGAGACAAGCCGTCCGCCGTGATTTTTTCACGACCTCCTCCCCCCCCCCTCCTCCTCCTCCTCCTCCTCCACCTCCTCCTCCTCCTCCTCCTCCTCCTCCTCCTCCTCCTCCTCCTGATTAGGACCCCGCTCCTCGGGGACCCTGGACTCCTTCACGCCAGAGTTCGGCGGCGCGCCGATGGGGGGAGGGAGATGAGCGGGGGCTGGCTCTCAAAAGGCGGCGGCGGGGGCTTCTCAGAGGCCCTCTGGCCTTCTGCGAGGCCCCCTGTGGCTTCGGAGATGGCCAGGTGCCGCAAGGATCGCTCCAGCAAGCGGGCCTCATCCGCTGCCCGCCCGCTCGAAGGGGCTGGGCGCCCAGGAGGGTTCAGCCGAACCGGGACGCAGGTCGGGCTCGGCCGAGGCAAGCAACCGAGGCTCGATGGAACCATGCAGTTCTCAAGCTGCGGCAACATTTTTGAACAGATTTTTGCCAGACGGCGACGACGACGTCGACGACGATGGTCGACGACGACAATGGTCGACGACGACGACGACAACGACGCAGGTCGCGCTCGGCCGACGCAAGGAACCGAGGCTCGATGGAACCAAACAGCTCTCAAGCTGTGGCAACATGTTTTGAAAACATTTGGTCGGACGACGACGACGACGACGACGACGACGACGACGACGACGACGACGACGACGACGACGGTCGACGATCGACGCTCGACATTTGACAACGACGAGGATCGATGATCACGCCATCGTTCCGGAGGCGTTTGGTCTATTCTGGAGGTTCTCGTCTCCACGGCTTGCCGCAGCTCGAAACGCTGGCAAGCCACGCTGGACCCCGGGAGAGGTCTGGGGCCCGCTCCGGGCCCCAGGCCCGTCAGACATCGATCCGGGGTGGAAGAGCTGGCCAGGGTGGATCCCAGGAGGGGCCCTGTGGGAACGATCTTGAGCTGGCTTTGGTCGGGCGACGACGGCGACGACGACAAGTAGGTGCGAGGATCGAGGCTGGAGGATCGAGGCTTCGAGGATCGAGGTTTCTGTAGTTTTGTCTGCTGGCTCCCTGGGCCTCATGGCGGCTCCCCGTCGCCACGGCTGGATCCCCGTCGAAACTCTGGTCAAAATGGACTTCAGGAGCGGTCTGGGGGCTGAATTTTCGACAATCAACGACGATCGCGACGGCGACAACGACCAGGACAACGATCGACGACAACGACGATCGACGACTCCATCGACGACGACGATGACGACGGTGACGTCGATCAACAACGAGAGATCGGCGTCGAACAACGAAGATTGGCAATCGGCGGCGATCGACGAGAGACTAGCGAAGCGGCTGGTCCCAGAACTCCGACGTCGTGACTTGGTCACAACCTGGACCTCCAAACCCCTGGACCCCTTACCCGGGACCAGCTTTCCATCCAGACCCGATTATTCCTGACAGCCCTGGGGCCTGGCGAGGGCCCCTGACAGACAAACCCTACGCCGGAGCGGGTGGGCGAAGGTGAACACTGCCAGCCTCTTCTCACCGCTTTGCGGAAAAGGCGGCACACCTACTCTCGAATGTACCTCTTACGCAGCAGGGGGAAGAGGAGGGGGAGGAGGAGGAGGATGAAGAGGGAGGGAAGGGGGAGGGAGAGCCACAAAATCAATGACAAAATCAAGGACAAAATCAATGACAAATGGCGAGGGCCCCTGGACTTGTTTGTGTTCCCAGACCCCCGACGTCGTGATTCTTTCACAACGTCGATCCCCAAAGGTCTGCTGTTCTTTGACGGTCCCGAAGGCCGAGAAGGGCCCCTGGAGGCCGAGAACCACGAGAAACCTCCCGTCGCGATCTTTCCACAACGCGAGGAGGTCTGGGTTCCTCCTGCGAGAAGCGGCGACGCGGCGGGGCACACGAAAGCCCCGTCGATGCACAGGTGCTGCACCCCCTCGGGCCCTGCCTTGCCAGGCACCGGCTCCGCGCCGACCTCCGCGAGG